ACTCCAGTTCTCGCTTTACTTTCAACTTTTGTTGCAATTTAAGCTAAGGCTGACCAGGCTCCTGCTATAATTTCTTCTATAGCAACTTTGGCAGTGGCTTCAGCTCCAGCGTTGGCTCCAGCTCTAGCTCCAGCTCTGGCTCCGACTCCAACCCCGGCTACGGCTTTGACTTCAACCCTTTCTGGATCCAGCTCTAATTCCATCTTCCATATTTCTGCACCAATTCCATCTCCGACCCTGACTTTGTGCTTTAACTCCGCCTCCAATTCTGACTTGTGCTCCAACTCTGTCTCCGAGTCGGTCTTGTGCTCCAACTTTGTCGCTCCCACTTTATCTGCGAGTCTCGCTGCTATTCTGGTTTATGTTCCATATTTTACCCTGTTTCCACCTCCAGATCTAGCTCTGATTCCTACTACAGCTGTGTTTTATTATCTATTCCAGATGTGGCTCCAGAATTGGAAATGACCAAGAGTAGTAATTCAGGAACATCAGTTACTGTAGCTTTCTGCTGAGAACATAATCAATCCTGGTGCTGTAAGCGAAGCTATAGAAGAATCCACGAAGAAGGAAGAGGGCCAAAATCTGGAAAGTTATACTAGGCAGATGCAGCGTCTCTCTAGGAGAAACGAGTAATAATCCAGTATATACAATTCCTGGACCAGAAAAGCATGTAGTTAGTGTACCGAATGAACCTACAATTGCAGTGATCATTGCAACATCAGATAGTGGCCCAACTGTTTCAACAAAGGCAGAGAGTAGTAGCAATCAGGCTGTGTCAGCTGAGGATACCGAGAAATGAATGAAGCAGGTAATTGTAGCTTAGGTTTATTAGTTCTTTTCCTTTTCTTCGACCTCAATCTTAATGTCTCACTTCATCTGCTCAGCGCTCTCTTAAATGTTGCAGTATCTGACGGTGGTACTGTATTTCTGTTACTTAGTATATCATGTAGAAATCGTTTATGTAATTTTTAGTTTTGGAGTTTCTCTGATCATGAGCAACTCTTTATTGTAGTATTATTTGTTACTAAGCTTTAAATTGAGCAAAGTTTATTTACTAAGATTTGATCATGTATTGGATAGAAATACATTTGCTGATTATTTTACTCAAAGTAAATAGTTCAGTGTGTTTCTGCCTAAAGAGATTGTGATTTTGGTGTGTTTTGCATTCTCAACTTTCATTTAGCTTTTTTCCAGCCATAACGGACACATTCTCTTATCTGTCATTCCAAGTAATTTAGAGTAAAGTGTGCAACAAGGAGAGTAAAATGTGCCACTTAGAAATGAGAGGAGTTGTGTACTTTTCAAGCCTAAAAGCAACAACAAAAAGATGAAAACTGAAAAGTACTAGTAACCTATTAATGAAAGGAAAAATGGGTAATGGCAAAAGTAAGAAGTCTTATCCCTTAAAACTGAAAAATAAAGCAACACTAGATAGTTTGACATCAAAGAAAGGGACCAAAACAATTACCTTGCAAAACTTTACACTTTATCCGTTTATATTTAATAAGATCTCACATGACTTATTGTGCTATATACGTAGTATATGTAAATTATGAAAATATAAATAATGTAAATTTAAATGTATTGCAACTAAAAGTGAATGAAGGAAGTATATAAAGATGTCCCAAAAACTCGTCTATTTCTAAACAACATGTCAGTTTTTACTTGAAGTTTAATTTAAAAAGAGTTATTAGACTCGTAAAAAAAGGTGGGGGGGGGGGGGGTGGAGGGGGGGTTATTTTAATAGGTGGCATTTATTGGAGAGTTAAAATATCATGAGGAAGTGATATTATGTTTAATAATTAATAAAAAAAATTAGGGAAATTCTCTTTTGTAAACTCCAACTTTTTAATTTTCTAAGTGATAAACATTCTTAAATTTTATTATCAATGGTAAACCTGAATTTTTTATGTTAAACTAACTATAACAATAATGACAAATTTGAACTAAATATTTAACCATAGTTAGGAAAATATTTAATCATAGTTAGGTTTTTTTTTTAATATTAATAGTAACCACCTAGCCACTTGACCTAAGCCCTAGCCACATGACCCATCAACCTAACCACTTGACCCACCCACCTAACCCCTTGACCTAAGCCCTAGCCACCAGACCCACCAACCTAGCCACTTGACCCACCCACCTAACCCAACCGCCTAGCCACCTCACCCACTCGCCTAGCCAGTAGCCACCTGACCCACTCACTTAGCCACTTGACCCGCCCACTTAGCTACCTGACCCACCGTCTAGCCACCTGACCGACCGCCGGCATCCAACCCTCACCCTCGCCGGAATTAATTCTTTTTTTTTAGAAAAAAAAACCAACCCCTTTTCCCCACCCACCTAGCCAGCCACCTTACCCCCTCCCCTAGGTCGGCCGGTGTCCAGTTCCCCACCACAAGCGACGACGCCTCCACCCCTGCCGAACCTCTTGTAAATTGAAACACCAAAAATACCCTAACCCGTTTAGGGTTTTGAAATAAACCCAGAAAATGAGTTTGAGTTTTCATCTGGTTTTGGGTGCGTTTTAAGGTTTCTGGGGCACGTTAAAAGGGGAAAGGAGTCGTCGGGGAAGGGGGGCGATTTTCCAAGTGGTTAGCGAATGACGGTGGGCGTTGGGGGTGCGAAAAGGAGAGGGTGGTGACGGGGAAACGGGTTTGGGGTTTAGGAGAGAGTGGAGGCCGGTGTCGAGGTGGAGGAGAGGGAGGCGGTACAGGTCGTCAGCGCTAGGGGGAGAATCGCCAGCGCGGGAGGGTCGTCGGTTTTTGGCTGCCGGGAAAGGGCTGGGTTAGGGGAGGGGGCTGGCAGTGGGTTGGGGGAGGGGTTGGGTTTTTTTTTTTAATTTTAATATAATAATAAAAAAAACTAACTATAGTTAAGGAAATAACACTATCAATGGTAAACAATAATTTAGGTTTACCATTGATAATAAAATTTAAGAATATTTACCACTTAGAAAACTAAAAAGTTGGAGTTCACCAAAGAGAATTTCCCAAAAAATTATAATAATAAAAAAAGAGTAAAATTTGTGTGAGAAAAATAATAATAAAGAACGCATGAGTAGGAATTTGAAGGGATATAAATAACATACAAAGTAAAATTGTAGTAATGGAGACCAAAGAGGATAATGATATATAATTTTTTTAAAAAACTAGGTTAGAATCCGTGCGATACACGGTTAATATAAACCTATTTTTACTTTGTACATTTTAATAATAAATCGCTATTATACATAAATATAAATAAGAATTACGTACATTTTGTAATTTAAAATCTTTTATTTTCATCAAAACTTTGATATAGTATCTGTTCGACGTCGTCTAATTCATAGTTCAATATAGGAGATCATTTATTGGTGTGTTATTAAAAATTGTTTTAATTTCTCGCAATAAATTGATAGGTTTTAGTTGTAAGATAGAAGTTTCTAATATTTAAATTTAAAAAATGTTAAATAGGATAACTCTACAAAAAAAAAAAAAAAAAAAAAAAGATGGGCGAAATTTTTTTTATTAAGAGAATGATACGTGGACAGTGATGATATCATCATCTTCTGTTTTAGTAATAGTTAATAGATTAGAAAGTTTTCAAGTTTAGAAAATGTGTCATTTAGAAAAATAAATTAATACAAAATCAAAGAGGGTATTGTTTACAAGAATTAATTGCAAAACTTTCTACACAGAGCTGAGAGCTTTTGTTAAAGCAAACAACAAACCGTGTAATCTTAATCTCTTATTTATTGTTTTCACGTTAAATGCAGCGGTTTGACTTTTGTAACATGTATTGATTTACATAACTAAGTTTTACCATTTTTTAACTCCGTTTTAATTTGTTAGTCTCATATAATATTTTGGGCGTTTTAAAAAGATTTACCCATATTGAATGTGTTCTACTTTTAACTTAGTTTTTATTTCCTATTTTATACATAATAAATTATGATTGCTTAGATTAATTGATTGTACATTAATGAAATGACTCTAAGTAAAGAAATTACTCCCATGATTTATGCAATTATGGCTAATGCTTTCCTAAAAAAAATCAAATAAGGCAAAACTATTTGTGAATTATTTTTTACTTTAATGCTAGATTCCAAATATTCTCCTTTTCTTATTTTATGTGATTGATTCCATATTGACTATCATATTGAAACGGAGGGAGTATCATATATTCCCTCTGTCCCTATTTTTTTTACCCCATAGCTAATTTTTGAGTCAACTTTTAATAACTTTGACCGCAAATTCACATTAATGTATAAGAAATAATATAGTCAAGTGAGATCTTGTTAGATTCGTCGAATTATGTATTTTATTAATATCAAGTTTTTATAATTTTTACACTTATATATTTTGAGATATATAGGTTTTAACACGGGTGTCGAAGACCGTGAAAAGTCCAATAGAGCAAAAAAAAAAAAAAAAAAAAAAAGGAACAAAGAGAGTATAAATTAATGTTAATTCTTCATTACAAGTTAATTTTAAACCATTTTATTTATTTGTTATTATTTTATTACTGTTCCTCACTTATTTTGCAACCGCCCCATATAGTAATTTACTAAAATCTTAAAGATCATCGAAAAAAATCACTTATATAACCTTTTAAACAGAACTTAATTCATTTGTCTAAAATCCTATAGCGATCAAAGTGATGTGACTGATTGAAGATAGAAAGAGTAACAAAATTTCATGAAAAGTGAGTGAACTTCCTCATCAATTGAGGTCGTCACTCATTTAAGTTCCTTCACTCTTAGGGTATTCTTTATCAAAAGTCCATATACACATAATGACATAAGATTCGATCACATATTTTTAGTAAGGACTTCTAAACTTAATTAATTTTCAAACATACAATTACATCATGTTAGGTTATTTTCAATTCCTTATATTTTTTAAGAAAATCTTTTGATAGATAACACATTAGAATTATTAAATTATCCTAATTCAAATTCAAATAGCTTGATATGATGGTGTTTACAAAAAAAATAATTAATTAAGTGAAATCAAATATTGGATGCCAACTGCCCAAATTCAATAATTACTTGAAAACACCAAAATAATATCAACCCAAAAGTAGAAACCAACTCATAAAGCAAACAAAACTCTAATATATAGTAGTAGAATCATGAATTACTTGGTTACTTGCACAACACCATAGAAGATATGTATAAAATATTAAAAATTAAATATTATACTACCTCCTTTAACTATTATTTGCAACAAAGGGGTATTATTTGTGAGATATAAAATATTCCTTTGTTGTAAATAATAGTTAACAGACGTAATACCATAATATCATTGGCCTAATATTGTAACAATTGCACACGACTTTGCGCCCTTAGTTGATCGTAAAATTTTTTAATGAACTCCTCAGCTTCATAATCAACTTGAAGATTTCCTCCCTCATTTTCATCTTCGGATAAATAATCACTTATCTTAATAGGAAATGGTGAAATGAGTGGACTACAAAACTCTTCGGGTGTTTGATCAATTCCATCTAGGTGCAAATTAAATGAATATTCAGGAGTTTTAGGCACTAAGACAATGGCACCATGATTTTCATCAACGTGACCGATTTCACCCTCTTGTGACTCGAGCTCGTCGAGTACATTTGGTGGGTTCATGCAAGGGAGATGTATGTGGTGGTGCTTATGTTTCGAAGATGATACGTGGAAAAAAACGGGGTTAGGGCTACTACATGAAAATTCATATTCCCGTCTAGCAAAGCTACCACGTGTCATTTGGTGGTGGTGGTGGTGATGGAGGTGTAGGAGATTGCTTAATGATTTACGAATGAGTTTCCCTCGCTTAAAGAACAAGTTTATATCCATAATGAGTTTCTTTTTTGAGATCAACCCTTTTCTAACCATAAAAAAGGTGATCCTTAAGAAATTCCATAGCCTCTTGGCTACAATAGAACTCTTAGCTGAATGTATCTTCATAACTTTAACAACCGAAAAGTAATAATATTGAGAATATATGATAAATTGTAGCCTGGTAGGTAAATAAATAATAGATATTTTAATTGATAGTAAGTGATAATTAGCTCGAAGAATGTGATATAATGAGCTAATTATTAACGAGAGGAAAAAATTATTAGATAATCATTCACTTCTACGAGGTTTTGAGGACCTCGTAGAAGAGAATGAGAAGAATGAGAAAATGTTAGAAGACATTATAGGAATATATAGGAATTAGGTGAAGGGCAAAAGGGAGAATATTGTCATAAAATTATAGAATAAATAAGAAGCAAACTATAGGCTTAAAGTTAAGCAACCCATTTTAGTAAGAATAGATTGGATTAATTGGATGAGGAAAATAAGGGGAAAGGAGGAAAAAGGAGGAGTTGAGGAATCGGTGGAAGACAAGTCAATATTCAAATGTCCCTCAACAACCCGCTCCTCCGGGGGCCGTCTTCTTTTATTATCACAGAGATGTTGGTTCACTTTTGTGTTCAAAAATTTAAAATAGATATATGGTCATTTTAATGTTATTGTGTGATGAATAATCATTTCAATGAGTAAAGTACAGCTAGCATATGGTGGGTTTTGATTTAAAAAGAAAATCATGTATAGTATACTTTTTCTTAATTGTTGCAATGTTTTACTTTATTCTATGTTTATGAATAATTGTGAAAGTCAAACATAATATGCATGTCAATAATATAACATTGTAACCGCACCAAATATGCTTAGTAGAGATGGTGAGAAACTCACCTTATGACTTTAAAGTCACAATTTCAAGTCCCATCACCTACCTTTAATTTATTGGTTCAGTATAGTCTTTCTCCTCACCAAAAAAAAAAAAAAAAAAAAAAAAACGATAACATTGTGAAACTTTTCATCTTGTAAATTCTGATAATTCTACCAATCTACAATTTGTTTCATATTTTGTAGGAAAATTTGTAAATTGCAGCCATTTAAAGTTCGTATTTTGCAAATTGCAGCCATTTAAATTTTCTTTTTTGCAAATTGCAGCCCAAAAGTTTGTATAAATTGTAAATTGCTGCCCGATTTAATTTTTTCAGGTTTACATGTTGAAAAATCTTCGGCTAAGGTTTTAGAGGTCATTTTAGCCCTTAGGGGCCCAAATTGAGCTCGGAATTAGCAAAAAAATAACGTAAGTATCTCGTTTTACGTAACAAAAATGTATCGATTTGTGGGAAACTGTAAATATGAGACACTTACGTTATTTTTTGCTGATTCCGAGCTCAATTCGGGTTCCTAAGGGCTAAAATGACCCCTAAAACCTTAATCGAAAATTTTTCAACATGTAAACCGATGAAAAAATTGAATCGAGCTGCAATTTACAATTTATACAAACTTTTGGGCTGCAATTTGCAAAAAAAAATTTTAAATGACTGCAATTTACAAAATACGAACTTTAAATGGCTGCAATTTGCAAATTTTTCTATTTTGTACAATAAAATTTAATGTGTGTGCGCTTTCTAATTGTACACGTGTGATCTAGTACTTATACGTATAAACACATGTCTTGACTCTTGAGTCAATGATATAGTTGTATAGTACATAGTACACGACAGTGCAGTTTGTATTGCTACTCCACCGTACACACGACCACGTGGTTCATATATAAATATATGACCACGTAGTTGATCAGGTAAAGGCGTTTCTAGTCCGTGTCACCGTGTGACGCATAATGTAGGATTCCTTATATTATAAAAGGACCCATTGGGAGATCTCATTGATCACACCCTTGAGCCACTAGAAGTTATATAAACGGAGGGTTGAGAGAGATTTAGAAGTGTCTCGCAGGGGTAGGTTAGTTATTTCATGCGGGATTAAAATTTTGCCATTTTAGATTTAGTGGTACAACATACACTCTCAGTGGTACAAAATATATATAATTTCAGTGGTATTTAAAAAAGGTTCAAATGTTTTATTAGGCTGTCAAATAATATCATTAAAGGTCAGTGGTACAAAATACACTCCTAGTAGTACTCAATGCAGTTTTAGTGGTACTTATAAAAATCCTCAGTGGTACAAGATATACTCTCGGTAGTTGTGGTCCCAATTTTTTGTCTTTTTTGCACGTGAAACCATTCCTGACCGAAAAGGTGGTCCCTACCTCACCCTTTTTTCACCCTCGCTATCTCTCCTTCCTTTCTCCCTCTTCCTAGTACATTTGCTATATTATTTTATGTTGTGAAACATTTTATTTTGTCTCACAACCCTACAAATTAAATATACTTCGTCGAGTCACTAACGCCTTGTTCTTTTGAGTTTCTGAGCAGAGTAGATCGGCAGAAAAGGGGTCAGCATAGCAGATTAAATTTCAGTAGAGCAGAGCAGATTTCAAGATAGCAGAGCAGAACAGAGCCGAGCCGAACAGAGCAGATTTCAACATTATTATTATTATTATTATTATTATTATTATTATTATTATTATTATTATTATTATTATTATTATTATTATTATTATTATTATTATTATTATTATTATTATTATTATTATTAATATTAAGTACATATACCATTGATTTAGGTGAGTGAAATAAAACATAAATAAATGTGTACCATATTTAACATATGTTAATAGTAGAAATATTAAAGACAACGGTTTACTTATATTTATTTCACAAAACTTATAAAATAAATTTATTTAATGAGTAATAATGCTTTTACTTATAAATTTGTCTTAATCATACATTTTTAACACTCAAAATAATAATGATATACAAAGTACTACTTGAAAACAACCTCTCTTTTTTAATTCGTAAATTGTATGGAAAGATTTGAAAAATAATTCAACTCAATGAACTAACAATCAGTACCCACATAAAATGTTTCTACACATTGTGATTCTAATATTATATGTTTATAAAAAGAAATTGTTATTAATAGTTATTATTATTTTTTATTTATTTGAAAGAATTGTTATAATTATTAGAAATTAATTAATCAATCATATTATTAAATATTAATTCTTAATAGTTTGAATTATTAAATAATATTGTTGTTAATTATTATTATTAGTTATTATTATGATTAATAAATATTAATTATTATTAATATAAAAAATTATTAAAATTATTTTTAATATAAATAATTATTATAATTATTCAAAATGATAAATTATTATCATCAAAATAATATTAATTATTATTATTGAATATTAATTAATATTATTAATTGTTACTCCATCTGTTTTTAAATACTTGCTCCACTTTCCTTTTCTGGCCGTTTTTAAATACTTGCTCCATTTTTTTTGAAAGCTTTCACAATATTTAATTCATTTCTCACACTTGGTGGATCCAACATAATACTCTCTCTCCTCCTTTTCTTCCACTACTTTTGATTATTACAATTTTTTATTTTCTCAACTAACCCACTACCTCCATATTTTATTACTTTCTCCAATTTCTCCTAAAACTCCGCGCATGGAGTATTATTAATTATTATTTGAAAATAAAGCAGAGCATAGTAGAGCAGATTTTTTTTTAGCAAAGCAGAGCATATTTGATTTGAGCAAGCAGGGCTCAGTAGAGCAGAGCAGAGCAAGCAGAGGATCTTTAAATAACGGGGCCTAAGTAAAAAACTCCTTGTATATTCTTGTTGTTCCTTTTCCATTATAGTGAAGATCTTATAATTAAATGTTCATCTCTCTAACGAGAGCCTCTCTCACTAGAATTGTGAGTTTTCTTCTTGCTCTTTCGTTTACTTTTGCCCTACTCAAAAGGCTTTCCCCTTTCCTAGTTATTGGGTACTGTAGCATGCATTCTCATGCTTGGATAATTCTTGAGCAAATCTAATTAAAATCTCTTCAGATTTCCATTCTAGGGAGTCACCCAATCCCCTTTGAGAAGCTTAAACAATCAATCTCTGTCTTTTCATTTCCACCCAATCGTGGGGGGGTGGGGGGAGGGGGAGTTTTTACAAACTTTTCATTCATTAACTCCTTTTTTGCATGCGCCAATCAGATTGAAGGAGTAATTGCTCATTTTATCCTTGAGCCCTTCACCCCTGCATCTTTTGGAGACTACTAGAAGTTAATGCTCTTTTTTTATCTTTGCTGCCACTTGTTCACCATGCATTTGAACCAGTTTCTTTGATTCTTCAGTTCCCTCCCCTATAAGAAGGAGTCATTTACTCCATCTCTTGCATACATCCCTTTCTCCTCTTCTATTCCCCTTCTATACCTCTTTATTGTCTGTACCACTTAATTGAAGTGGTATGGCCAACCAGAATCCAAATGATCCTAACAATAGAAATGATAAACGACCCTCCACCTAATAATAATCACCTTAGGTCCCATAGAATGGGAGTCCTTGTTAGCCCACCTCCTCGCTCTAATGCTGGGACCCTAAATATAAACTTCAATAATTCAGCTATTGGGGTCTTTATCGGTCCAAATCCACCATCAGCTACTTATGTGCAGCATGTCATCAATCAGAGGTGGGTCACTAGGGGGCATGTTCGAGTACACAGGACAGGGGACTACTTCCTCTTTGAGTGTCTTGTGCAAGGTGATCTGGAAGGACTGCTGCGACAATATTCGATGGTTTTTGATGGCCGCATAATTAATCTACGAAGGAATTGTAAATCATGCTTCCCTGTGCTCCCTACTTGAGAATTTTTTTTTTGATTCTTGGTATTTGATGATGAATATTGTGGATTTGTTGGTCATGATTTGAAGTCAAATTGTTTGGATTCCTTAACTTGCGTCAATTTTGCCTAACTACTTGTGAATATAGTGCTTGACTAGTTGATTTGGTTAGGAAATGTGTGATAGTTCCATAATTCCTGGTATGTCATTGAATTTGAGTATTGATTTACAACTATGAGTAGTGTTTCATGACTTTTTATTATGCACATGAGGAGAACGAAGGCGTTCATTCTTTAGGTAGCCTTCAGAGTATTTAGATACATTTGTTCCCTTCTTGTCACCCATGTTGTTGCTTGTGCCCTTTTATTGTTTATAGCCACATTACAAGCCTTAATTGCCCCATTGGTTACTAGTCCCAAGCTTGGCTTAGGGGAGCTATTAGTGAGTGAGGTGAGGGAGTTTGTAGTGTGCACTTTATTTGCACAATTTGGGTGGGTTTTGAGAAGTAATTTGTTCTTAATCATATTTTTGTTTTTATGAGTTTGAAAGTTGTATATATTTGAGAGAAATAAAAGTGTGATGAAAAAAAAAGTGAACTTCTAAGAAAAAAAAAGA